TATACCAACCACTATATATACAACAAAAATGTAACACATGCCCAAGGGGATTTGAAAACAACAAAAATATTTATACCAACCACTATATACACAACAAAAATACAATACATGCCCAAGGGGATTCGACTTTGGGACCTCAGGTAAAAAATTCAAAGTCATAACCATCAAGCCATCTAACTACATGTGATTATAACTTGCTGATTAATAGACTATATTTACATTTCGTTTTCATTTAATGATGTTTGAGAATTATCGCATATCGAAAGATGGGTATTGAAATTTGGTATATAAATACCTATGCAATATGAATTATAAAATGTGTATAAAAATATTAGGGCAACCTCGCATGTGCGTTTGGACACACGTGTGCGCGTGTGAGTGTGCGTGGGGCACGCTCGCACGTGCGCTCGGACACACGTGTGCAGGTGTGAGTGTGCGTGGGGCACGCTCGCACGTGGGCTCGGACACACGTGTGCGCGTGTGAGTGTGCGTGGGGCACGCTCGCACGTGCGTGTCATGTGTTACGTGTGTGAACCGGGCTGAACCAGATGGGAACCGACGATTCTACTCTAGAACCGGGGCTGAACCGGATGGGAACCGGCGGTTCCACTCTAGAACCGGGCTGAACCGGATGGGAACCAGCGGTTCCACTCTAGAACCGGGCTGAACCGGATGGGAACCGGAGGTTCCACTCTATAACCGGGCGGTTCCCTGTTTTCTATTGAAATTAGCACGGACACGCGTTTTTTCGAGTCGAACCGGGCGAGTCCGGTTCGACTCGCCGCTTTTTTAAAACACTGAGTTAAACTAAGATTTTGAATGTTACCTATTTAAAAGTTTACATATAACTTTTTAGGGATTGTATACTATGATACCATTTATTTTTTATACAATAAGGTCACGATTACTTGTAGCCATTGGATGAGAAATCCAATAGATGAAAGCAGTGGTTTAAACATCGGTGACCCGATTCAGAATCGGGCGATTCGGATCTGGAATCGCCATGACCGTCCTGGATCTGTTAAAGAAATCGGGATTCAGTAGATTCAGAATAGTAGGCTTGCTGATTTTTTCGCGGAACCGCCGATTCTGACGATTCTTGACTGAGTCAAGCGAAAAAAAAATAAAAAAGGTTGATCAGTTTTTTTTAATTATTTTTTAAAAAAATTTGGACAGAAATTATTGATTCTGCTGATTCTTCCGATCCACCGACCCCCGATCCGACACGAGTATGAATGTGACCAATTCGAGTCACCAATCTGTTTTTTTAAATACTGGATAATAGTGTGTCACAACATTCATGAAATTTTGTTTTGAACTTTGTATCTAAACAATGACATATCCTCAACCACCCGAGTTCAGATCTAAAAATGATGATTGTGACCTCCTTGTATCATGTGTACATTTCTATCTCTTTAAACTTTATTGTCTTTGTTAAGATAGAGAAGATTTGGAAAAAGGATAAATTCTTTAGACTTTAAATGGGATTAAGCTTTTGATATATTTAATTGGGCCTTCACTTAATTGCGAGGATTCGTCGATATTTGTTCAATGGAATGACTCGGTTCTATATGACTCGTTTAGTTCCAAGCTGAAAAAGTAGTGATAATGTCTTTTTCCAAGTTATGATATAAAAATTATAAAGACCAAGCAAAGTGAAAGGCCCCTATAACGTCTAGATGACATTTATTAATCTATGTCTTGTTTTGAACCTTGACATTTATTAATCTAAATTATAGTCATTGGTATTAAATTTACAAAAAATTTGTGTGGGGTTTGAACCACACTGCAATTCTCAGTTGTCCCATACAATATTCCTTCCTCTATATCTATAGTGCGTCCATATAGTCGTCATAATTAATCATGATTTAATCATAATTAATCATGATTTAATACTTTGTTTTACCAAGTAAAGGATGAAGTTTCTATAAGGCCAAGGCTTTATGAAATTGAAAACGAAATGAAGTGTCGTTAAGTTCCTCATCTGGTACATACCTTCGGCAATGGAAATCTCCAAGATGTTTCTAAAATCAATTTCCAACACTGACAATGAAATTTGAAACTCAAAAAATAATGTAGATCTTGAGAATCTAGGAATACTTATTTTTAAGACGAAATGGATGGCTTAGATAATTTGTTACGATATACACCATTTTTAGAGCGTGAAATCCTTTTTTTTTCCACAATAATGATCAATGTAAATATTTTTCAATAATTGAATAGCAATTTTCAATGAGTTATAAGGTGAGGCTTTACTTATTTCTTAAAAAAAAAATATTGGTAAAAAAAGAAAGAGGGGGCACGCCCCAGTTCTTTGAGTCTGGAGTAAGCATGCCCGATACAGTTATTTTGAGGCCCCACATGTTGAGGATTGATGTCTTGTATTCTGAGGTAATAGATTTGCCAAAGTAGAATCAAAGGGATGACTCCGGAGGGCCGTTAAAAGCCCGAAGAACTTGAGGCCCAGATATCCTTACATGGGGTATTTCGGTAATATGTATCATCTGCCTGGGACTATATATATTGTTGTGATGGGGGTTCTTTTAAGGTTAAGGAAAAACGGAGATCTCTTTGTAATACAGGAGCATAGAGAGGCGTGAGGTAGAGAGTCATTGTAACCCTATTCTCTATTGTTAGTAAAGAAGCTCTCATCTCCCCATAGATGTAGGCACGTTGCCGAACCACGTATATATTTGCTTTATGGTTGATTGTCTCTTTCTTTTGTATTTATTTCTTCTTTCTTGTCTCATGGATTGCTTTTCATTTCTACGCCACGTTGATCTTTGTGATTGAAGAGTGCATAGCCTAGGCTTCTTGTACTTATAAGATCTGAGATAAATCCTGATCCCGTGTGATATCGAAGGAGGAGACCCAGATAGGTGTGTATCAAGTCCAACTGAGGTAATCTTATGGCATTTTCATTTTCTGTTTATGCATTTTGTATTTCTTGATCACAACTGAGTTTTATGTAATTTTTGGTTATTGAAATAAGAGAGTTGTATTAGTAGCAGCGAGTGAGAATCTATTTTGATGTTCATCTTGATTTACTTTGAGTTTCTTTTGTATTATTTGACATTTGTAACTGTTCTAGTCAGTAGGAAAAAATAAATTTAAATCGCATATACCGTGCTAGTTCACCCTGTCCAACTTTCAAAGATAACATAGATTTCTTTGGACTATCTCTTATATTTTTAGGATTTTCAATAAGTCCAATTGGACTCAATTCATCATATACCTCTAATTACATAACCTTTCATATTCCTTTAGTTACAAAATTCTTTAATAAATGGAGACTCCATGGGTCTTTTTGAACAACTACCAGAAGATTTTTCAATGGCTTTCATATCAGGGTGTTTTGAATTCTCATTATTGGAATCTCAATGATCTCAACTTTTGACATATTAAGTATATCCAAAGGTACAAGAGTTTCACAGTGGGAGTGCAATACTTGCTTTATGCCTGAGGTGTACTGCACCCTAGGTGAAACACTTTAACATTTTTTTCCTATGAAGACCCATGTGAAACATTTTGAGCAATGGAAAAGTGTAAAGTGGAGTTAAAATCCCCGTCCGAGTTGGGCTTGCTTGATTTTGTAAGTTGTTGACCATTGCAGCACTACCTCACAAATTCAATTCCTACTGCTCAATTACCCAAAAAATGATAACAATTACAATATTGATATTAATGTAGTAGAACTCGCATCGGTCAAGGTACTTAGGACTTGGCCGAGAGTAACTCGGCTGAGTCAGAGTGGGAGTTAGCCAAGTTATGTACACCCCAAAAGAGTAAAAAATAAAAATTATAAAATAGTTAAAAATAGAAAAAACTAAAAGATGCAATAGAAGTCATTAGAAGATGAAAAGAATTTATAAAAAATGGATTATGAAAATTTTTGTTTTAGACCTTGAATATTTCATAAAATTTAATAAATTAAAAAAATTATGAAAGTTCCAAGTCATCTTAACGCTATCAAAATTGTCAAAGTGTCAAACACACAAAGAGATAGAGGAAAAACTTATATCTATTAACATGTGAAAACTCTTCCCAACACCTATAGGCGAAAATGAACAGTGCTTTCGCCTACCCTCACCCTTATCCAAACTTCATCGTACGGTCAAAGTTGTCCTTTAGTATTTCAATTTTCATTTTTTTTCTACAAATCCAAATTATTTGAAATTTGGAGTGTGTGTAGATCTTAGTGAGGCACACCTAATAAAAATATGAAAAAATAATTCGTAAAATGTAAATTGATCAAAATACCCCGAAAATTTTTCGGGGTATTTTAGTCAATTTTTAATTTACGAATTATTTTTTCATATTTTTATTAGGTGCACCTCACTAAGATGTATGCACGATCTAAATTTTATATCCTTCTGATTATTAGAAAAATTAAAATTGAAATACTACCAGATAACTGTGACCGTGCGATAAAGTTTGGATGGTGATTAGGGTAGACAAAATAATTGTTCATTTTCGCCTGTAAACATTTTGTAATATATTTTATTAACATGTATATATAATACAACAAGAGATAACTTACACTGCAAGTTAACTTGCACAGCAAGATAAACTATAAATAACTTGCACTGCAAGTTAACTTTATTGCAGCTTTGTCAAGAAACCTACAAACAATTAGGTAATGAATTTGGCAAATGCTGAAATTTAAAATATAAGAAAGACAATAAAATAACCATATTCCAAATGGGCATCACATCTTTACTACAGTATAACATTTGGTTCTTATCTCTTTTCTAGTAAGCAGATTCTACTAATTAAGTATCAACAATAACTGTAAATTTTAAAACCATTTTAAAATCATCAATTTCAAACTTTGGTGTTAAGTAAAATTCCTTGTGTCCATATGTTATTTAAAAGTTTTCGTATGGTACTTGCCATTCATTCTTAGTTAGTATTAGACTTGGAAATCCTAGAAATTTGTTTTACAAAATCAAGCATTCCTATGACGATGGCTCCGACATTAACCACATAATGGACACACATTAGGTTCTCAGAAACCTTAGCGTAGGCGTAAGGTCGATCCTGCACGAGCCCTTCATAGCATAGTATGCAGCATCCAACTCATGAATCTCCTTGCTGTCATCAGGGGCCTTAACATCCCATTTTTGAGAAGCCTCCACCAAAGCACGAAGCATTGAGGTAAATGGGCTCCCAGAAGGCAGCTTATGCCTATAAAACATCGTCCCGACAATAATTACACAGACAGATACCAAGAGTCCTGCCATTGGTAAAGCCTAGCACAGAGTCCAACATTATCCTGGATATATACAAGGAAGGTATTGGCAAACAAGGTTCTGAAGAAGATACTAAACATCCACCAGTTGAAGAAGGAGAGCTTTTGCTTCCTCTCCTTAGGGTGGGATTCGTCGAATTGGTCAGCTCCCATGGTGGAGTTGTTAGGCTTGGTACCCCCTGTGCCGACAGCAAGGACGTATTGTGTGCAGTAGAAGATCCCAATTTGGAATGTATAGGCAGGGAGGGCAAAACCTGCAGTGCAGTCTTGATTGTTGCTGTTGCAGGCCGGTGGGCGGAGCGCAGGGATGGAGACCACTAGTGTGAGCAGACACATCCCCAGTGACATGAGGGTGAGGTGGAGGCAAGTTTAGTGGTTGCATGGTTTGGAATTTTTAGCTAGTGTTAAGGCATTTGAGCTCGTATTAATGGAAGTCAGGAATCACAAAGAGAGAGAGTTTAGTAGCAGCAAAGGATTGTTTGAAATTTCATCTAGTACCAGGAAATCCCAGCAAGTACTAGGAAAACCATGATTGTGTGTTTGTATGAGAGAGAGAGAACTAAGATCACAAGTGGATGAGAATTGTTAAAATTTCATTTAGTAGCAGCGGAAGTCAGTTAATATCAGAAAAAGCATTTGTGTGTGTAGTAGATGGGGAATTCAGCTGGTATCAGAAGAAGCATAACCCTCTATGTGTGTGAGAGAGATAGAGGACAAGCATTAGTGGTTCGTATTAAAATGTATTGGTATATGGTACTAAAGTTTACAATTTTTACCGATTGAATATTAATGAAAGTTCATCTCTTTCTGATTATTCCGATGCCTCTTTTGATGTTTTTGTGTGTGTGGATGATTCATATTATCATACTTAAAATTAAGACATATAAATAAAGACAAAATGAATCGCATAGTTAAAATAGGCTTGCTCCCCAATTTAGGATAAATTGTGTTCAAAACATGCGAACCATATATTTCTGGTAAATTAACTAAGAAGTCTTTCTCTAATGGGAATGAGTCTAGTGAACTACTTAGTATTGTTCACTCTGATATATGTAACTCATTAAATGTAAAAACACATACATAATATTTATAGATGATTGTTATGGATATGTATACCTAATTAGACTTTAAATGGGATTAAGCTTTTGATATATTTAATTGGGCCTTCACTTATTTGCCAGGATTCGTCGATATTTGTTACATGGAACGACTCGGTTCTATATGACTCGTTTAGTTCCAAGCAGAAAAAATAGTGATAATGTATACCTAACACCTCCCTAATTAGAAAATCAGCTAGATAGACATATTAAAATTCTTCGAACAAATAAGGGAAGTGAACATTTCTCCGCCTTATTTACTAAATTTTGTAAGGAGCATGGTATAATTCACCAAACCACCATGCCATATACATCACAACAAAATAGCGTAGCTGAATGAAGAAATAGAACTCTAATGGACGTGGTTAGCTCCATGATAAGTCATTCAAACTTATCACATCATTTTTGGGATGAGGCTCTCAACACTGCAATATATATTATTAATTGTGTTACAACTAAATCTATAGACTTGACCCCATGTGAATTATGGACAGATAGGAAACCTGACCTTACTAACCTGAAAGTTTGTGGTTATTGTGCACATGTGTATATACCACCACAAAATTGAGATAAATTGTAAAGTAAAACTATAAAATGCTCTTTTATAGGCTATTCAGAAAATTCTAAGGGCTATAGATTCTATAACCATGATATTAGATCATTAATAAAGAGCCGTGATGCTCATTTCTTAGAAAATATAGATGATGAAAATATTTTAAGTAAGCCTAGTGACTTACAAGAAATTGATAAAGATTAAGGTCTTCAATACCCTATTTCTCAGTCTCCCTCTATAATTGGTAAGAATGATTCAATTGAACCAAGTATACCAGATAGGCCTAAAAGAACTTGAGCCTTACCTACGAATTTCGAAGAATTTTATGTATTTATGAATAAAAATAATTATTTTTCAATGAGTGGGGGACTCAATAAATGAACCTCAAAGCTACAGTAAAGCTATTAGCTTAGATGACTCAGCTGAGTGGACTCAAGCCATGGATGATAAACTTGATTATATTAAAAGAAATCAAGTTTGGAAATTGGTTGACATCCCTAAAGATAAAAAAACCATTGGTTGAAAATGGGTCCTAAAAAATTAGCTTAATGAAAATGGATCCATTGATAATTATAAAGCTAGGTTAGTAGTTAAAGGTTTTAGCCAAAGGGAGGGTATAAATTATGTAAAGACACATTCTTCATAAGCCAAATTTTCATCTATTAGGATCTTCTTAGCATTATTTACATATTATGATCTAGAATTATTTTAGATGGATGTCAAAACAACTTTCTTAAATGGAAAATTAAAAGAATATATATACATAAAACAATTAGAATGATATATAATTAAAGGTCAAGAAGACAATGTATACAAACTTAAAAAATCTTTATATGGTCTAAAACAGTCTTCTAAGCAGTGGTAGTTTCCTTATCATAATGCAATCACTAAAATTAGTTATGTAGCCAATAAGTTAGACCATTGTGCATATGTCTAGAATAATAGGAGCAATTTCGTTACATTATCATTGTATATAGATGATATTTTGATAGCAGGTAATGATATTGATATGTTTAACTATACCAAATTATGGCCAAGTCCCTATTTTGAGATGAAATATATGGGAAAAGCCTCATATGTATTAGACATTAAGATAACAAGATAAAAAAGTTCTGAGACTTCTATGTTTATCTCAAGAAAATTATTTAGAAAGTATTTTAAATATATTTAAAATGAAAAATTGCAAGCACATAAATACACCTGTTTGTAAAGGCATAAAATTATCATAGAAAGTGTGCCCATTAACTGATAATGATAAAGCTGAAATGGAAAGAATTCCATACGCTCAAGCTATATGATGTAAGAAATATATCATGTTGTATACAAGACATGATTTGAGTCATGAATATGGTCTTGTGAGTAGATTTCAAAGTAATTTTGGGATAACTCATTGACAAGCCGTAAAAAAAATATTCATAAGTATTCAAAAAACTAAAAATTACAAGTTGTGTTTCCAAACTGATAATTTAGAGATTACTGGGTACTCTGATACAAACTTTGCAGGAGACCCATATGATAGAAAATCAACCTCAGGATTTGTATTCATCTTTAGATGTGGATGTATTTGTTGGTCTAGTAAGAAACAAGGTTGTGTAGCTCAATATACTATGAAAGTCGAGTATATTGCTTGTAGCATTGCTAGAACGTATGACGTCTGAATTAAACGATTCATAAATGATTTAAAATTGGATATAGCCGACGGACCTGTAAAAACTTTTTTTGTGATAATCAGGCTATCATCTCATCAATTAGAAATGGAGCTTATAGTTCTAAGGGTAAGCACATTGAAATTGACTATCATTAAGAGAATGAAATAACTGCAAGTTATTTGCCATCTTCCGATATGATTGCAAACCCTTTAACAGAGGGATTAAATACATAAATATTATCAAAGCATGTAGCTTTGATGGGACTTAGGAATATTTAAGTCAATAACTCCCAAATTGGATATTTTATTTGATGTATTGGTCATGAGAGGAAAAGCCGCATTAGCGACATAACTTTGGATAATAATTTTTTTGTTATGAGATGTATAACCGCACTAGCGTGAAAAACCTCATGACAAGAATATGCTCATAAATGTTAAATTCACTAATTGGCATAGATTTTATGATATTTCAATATATCAGGCCTTCATGGCCAAGTGGGAGATGTTGGTACGTGTGGGTGGCCGTAGGGCCTCAAACATGTCATATTTCTCTCTCTTTATCTTAATAATACATTTTAATATTTATCACTAAAAAAGCTTCTTAGAGAGAGAAGATGCCTTTATCCAAGGTAACTATCCACTTCCCAGGAAAAGAGGATCATGTTTTTCAGAGATTCCAGGAATAAATTCGAACGTTAGAAAACAACCTCCTTCCATCCCTCTTTACGAAGAGTTTCATGGCTATGGAGAGTAACACACAGAGAAAATACAAAGTTCTCAATTGTTTTGGTGAAAACATGATCTCTACGATCCACAGTCTTACGACATTGCCTTTGATTTTTGGAACTTTGGTAGGTTCATTGCCTTTGATTTTTTGAACTTTGGTAAGTTCATCGCTTCCCATCAATAGTTTAACACAAACCACCAAATATTTTATAAACAAATAGAAAAGGCTAATTATATATCTATTTTCATACTACT